AAGATGGGGCTGAACGCGGACGGGGTGGCCGAGCTGGGGCTGGTTCCAGCTCAGGCCTGGCTCCCGATGCCACTGTCCCCAGAGCGGCTCCATGGCAGGCTCACTCGAATCATCCAGGCTGACTTCACCGGGGGCTTGGAGATCTACGAGGCCATTAAGACCGGACTGAAGGACCTGGAGATCGGAGTCCTGGGTATGTCCCCAAGCTTGCTTGGAGCAGCCGCGCCCTCAAGCGCCCCCACGCTCACCCTGACCCGAAGCCCTCTGTGGCCGCCCTCCCTCTGCCCCAGTCGGTCTCTCTGGGACTGTTGGAGGGACGCAGACATCTCATTTCCTCTCGCTCAGTGAACAACGTGGGCATGTTATATGCTAATGTCATGATGAAGCTGCTGGACTGTGAGAACTTCGAGAAAGTGAGTGAAACCCACTAGTGCCCTCTCGGCACCTCTTGCTCCCACTACTGCCCTCTGTGGGAAAACTCACGCAGCTCCTGGCTTTGTTGGAAGAAGGCACTCTATTGCCTCCTGTTGGAAAACTGTTTTCAAAGCTGCGAGTCTGATGTCTAGGCCGTGGAGGAGGTCCCGTGATGGGGCGCCTTCTGCACTGCCAGCCAGTACAACTGTTCAACCTGTCTGGTCCTGCCCTTTTCTGTTCTCTGGTGCTAACTTTAGGGGGGGGGGAGACCTACATGGGAAAACCAGTGCCTGCCATTTAGAGTCTGTGGTTTTTATTTTTTTTTAAATATACCTTTATTGATTTCAGAGAGAGGAAAGGAGAGAGAGAGAAACATCAATGATGAGAGAGTCATTCATTGAGCCCACAACCCGGGCATGTTCCCTGACAGGGAATCGAACCCTGATCACCTGGATCCTAGGTCGACGCTCAACTGCTGAGCCATGCCCAGCCGGGCTAGAGTCTGTGATTTTTAAATTTTTATTTGGGATCATTCTTGAACCCATGGCTTCTTTTTTCTTAATCACCTGTAGATATATCCCCATACTTCCGATGGGAGTCACATGGTCTCTTGTACCTCAGTTTCAGGTGCCTGCCTCTTTTGTTAAATGAAATATTATCTATAGGGTTTTTAAAAAATCAAAGTTATAAAATCACATAGTTCTACAAGAGTTGTTTAAGATAACTGATACTTTTTTTCTCTCCAAAAATTGCACCCAGGAAAAGCAGAGCTGTAGCTGATGTGAGCGTGTTGTTTGGGCATTAGCAGTAGTGCCCTCCCCACAGGCCCAGTGGGCGGTCGTGCAGCCCCGAGAAAAGGATGGTCAGATATATATTTATAGTGTACCTCTTGATGTCTCAGGGTCAGCCATTATTTAGGGACCGCCCACAGTGGAAGATGAGGAATAGTTCCAGTTCGCAGACACCTGTGTCCACACCACACACATCCTCCCAGGTTCTAGTCCCCAGCTGATATTTCACAGATGTGGCTACAGAGCCACGTTACTGTGCATATGAGAACACTGTCCACAGCTGAGCCATGTAGTAGACTAGGATGAGTTTTCCTTTCTTTTTTTATATTTTATTGATTTCAGAGAGAGGAAGGGAGAGAGAGAGAAACATCAGTGATGAGAGTCATTGATCGGCTGCCTCCTGCACGCCCCCTACCGGGGATTGAGCCTGCAACCCGGGCATGTGCCCTGACCGGGAATCAAACCGAGGTCTCCTGGATCCTAGGTCGGTGCTCAACCACCGAGCCATGCTGTTCCTTTCTTGGACAACTTTATTCTCCCAGGAGTGAGTCATTTTTGTCTTGATTTTGCACTTCCTTGAGTTTCCATGTACTTATCGCTACTTCAACTCCAAACTGCAATCCAAAAATATGAAAGAAGTTCAAGCCATTTCATCTTCTTGCTGAACTTGTTACCCTCTTTTCCACAAATCCTGGGACCTCCCTTAATCTTTCTCCTAAGAAGCCCCCATTTTCTCTATCATGTCATAGCATTGTTTGGTTTACTCCTTCATTTTGTTGAAACATATCCTTTAGTAGCTGCCTGATAAAGAATGCATGGATGGGTCCTGGCCAGTGTGGCTCAGTAGGTTGGAGCATTGAGGGTTCGATTCCTGGTCAGGGCACCTAGTACGTAGGTTGCAGGTTCGGTCCCTGGTTGGGGCGTGTACGAGAGGCAGCTGATCCAATGTTTCTCTCTCACATTGATGTTTCTTTTTCTTTTTCTCTCTCTTTCCCTTTCTCTCTCTCTCAAATCAGTAAACATCTTCAGGTGAGAATTAAAAAAAAAAGAATACATAGATGGTAAAATTTCCAGCTTTGTTTTCTATCACTTATGTGACTTTAGATAAATGACTTCATTTCTCTGGGCCTCAGTTTCATATCTATAAAATGAGAATAAATACTTTTCCTGGCCTCACAGGGCTGTTATCACAATGGGATGAAGTAACACACATATATCTAGGTTGTGTGTTCCATAAGTGTTAGCCTTTACTATCAGACAGACAAAACAGAAGATCGGGATGGCTTTTAAATGTTAAATATTATTATTTCAAAGTTATGCATATGCTTATTTTATCAAATTTAAAGAGAGGCTAGCTGCATATTCTGCCTCTAGTATTAGAGGAGGTTGTTGTTTGAGACTGACTCTGCAAATGAGAATGGAAAAAAAAAATTTTTTTTTAAATATTTTTGAAATAGTTGTTCGAGGGCATTATACAACCCCTAAAGAAAGGAGGAATTGTAGCACCAAGATTTGAGGGAAGGGAGAATCCAAACAGGAAAATTTGACATTTGGAGCAACATTTCCCTTCAAGTGGCTGAGAGACATTGATTTGCAGTTCCACTTATTTGTGCATTCATTAGTTGCTTCTTGTATGTGCCCCGACTGGAGATCAAACTGGCAACCTTGGTGCACCAAGAGGTTGCCGGTTCGATTCCTGATCAGGGCACATGCATGGGTTTCGGGCTCGAGTTGTGGGCTCGATCCCATGTGTGGGGCGTGAAGGAGGCAGCCGATCAATGACTCTCTCATCATTGATGTTTCTACCTCTCTTCCTTTCTCTGAAATCAATAAAGACATATTTAAAAGAAATAAATAAAAATATAATAAAATGTGGTAGGTATTTTTCCTGTATGCATATGAAAGCATGTATGTGTCGGTTTTGTCCGCATGTCAGGCAGCCTGTTCGGTGCTGTACCTTTTACAAGTAGCCATGTATCTTGGAGATTATTCCAATCAGAAGAAATAGCTGACCCATGCTTTTGACTTGCTGCACAGTGATGCATCTGGGCTACACTGTGTTTATTTAGCCACATTCCACCAGTGACCAACGTTGGGGAGGTCTCCTATTACATGCGACTACAGTGTTGCAACCAATATCTCTGGACATAACTCATTTCCCACATGTGTGAGTATCTTGGGAAGGAATAAATGTCCAGAAGTGGAGTTGATGGGTCAAAGGGTGGGTGCATTTTAAATTCTAGTAGCTCTCTTCTGCTTAAAAGAGAGAAAAACAAATGTGTTCCATCTTAAAAGAAAGGTAAGCTAGGAAATAAAAGGTGGGACTTGAGGCAGGGTTGGTGAAGGGAGGGACTGATGGTTCTGTTTTCTTCCCAGCGACTCTCGGATGTTATAAACTGCAACATCATGTCTGTGGCCCAGGTGAGACTGGGCTAGGGGGAGCTAAGTCCACTCTGGGTGATCCCCAGACACCCCTGCCTCTGGGCCTGTCCGGTGGAGAAGGTGCTAGGGGAATACTCCCCAAGGGAAGGTAGGGGGTGGGAGTGAACTTGAGGATGGGGCAGGTGAAAGGGTTGGAAAGGGAAAACGAGGCCCTTCCCGCTCTTCTCTACAGATGACAGCAATTGTGCTGCCCCAGATGGTCTCCAGGTAAGAGGCAGCCTTTTTCTCTCCCACTCCGGGTCCTCCCCCATCCAACCTCCAGGCTTTTTCCCTTTCCCAGTTGTCCCACCTACGTTTCCAGCTCTTCCCTGTCCCTCTGACATTTCTCAGATTAGGACATGGCTCAGGGGTGGAGGGGTGGGAATCACCTGGATCCTCTCCTCCCCGCCTTTCAGCTAATGCTTCCCTCTCCAGGAGCAAAGGCATCATCATCAACATCTCTTCAGTTTCTGACAGTAGACCCTACCCATTTTTAGCAGCGTACGCAGCTTCTAAGGTACCCAGACCCCACAGACTGGGGCGAGGGCTTGTCTTGCCTGGGATTCCTGCCATAGCCCCGAATGCATGTGTGTGAGAGAGAGAGACAGAGAGGCAGAGAGACAGACAGACAGGGGCATTGGGACACAATCCAGCAGTTTTTAAAAAAAAAAAAAGAGAGAAATGGGCCCCGCGCACGCCCAGGCCCTTTGCATCTGCGTCCTTGGGCCCAGGCCCAGGGCCTCGGCGGTGCACGAGGCAAGATGCTGAGGCACAGCTTGGAAAACCCGACGCTCAAACCAGACAACTGCAAAATGCTGTCACAATTGTGGAGAAGCATTTGGGACAGCTGTGCCAAATATTTGCTGCTTGTGTGCGGAAAGCTGCCAGACTGCGAGACAAAGCAGACCTCCCGGCGAATGAAATAAATGTGCACGCCTCCACGGGGACCCCGAATTTTAAAGCAGGGCCTGCAAAACGTCGCTGATGAGTTTGCCACACTTCAGGGTTATCGACAGGCAGAGGCTGAAAGACCTGAAGCCAAAGTAGTTGACCCATTGAAAGCTTATGGAACTATTGTAAAAATGAAACGAGATGACCTCAACGCAACATTAACAGCCGGGAATCGAGAAGCTAAACAGTTAACTCCGTGAGAAAGAACCCGGCAGCCAAACCCATCTGACCGACGTGTCAGTTCGCGGGCAGAAGCCGAATTACAGACGGCTGCCGTGGATGCCACCCGAAGGGCTCGTCGGCTAGAGGAAACCACTGACAGTTTTGAAGAGCAGAAAATAAAGGATATACGACCATATTTTCAGAATTTGTCACCATTGGAATGCTAGTGCATGGCAGAGCTTCAGGAGTCGTCACTGCCGCCTACCGGAGCATACAAAAGGCTGACCACGACGACGACCTGGAGGCTCTCCCAGCCTCTCCGCACGGCCACATTGCTCATCTCGCCTCGATGCTGCGAGAGCAAACTCAGTCGCCTCTTCAGAGTTACGGTCAGCTAAGTGTGTGCCGGGAACAGGACGGTGTCCACCTGTCGACTAAGAGAGGGTCAGCAAGCAGATGATGATGATGATGACGAAGGCAATTTTTTTAAACTTCACATTTCCATTTTTATCTTAAATGACTTGGAATCCAGAATTACTAAACTGTAAAGCTTTATACTGGCTTGATACATTAAACTTCAAAATGAAACCCTACTGGAAATGGAAAATAAAGGAAATTTAATGCTGACTAAATAAATAAATTAATTAAATAAATAAAATAAGAAAAGAGAAACGGAGGCTAGGGCAGGAGAGCGCAGTGAGGTGGGGAGATCGGAGCCCGGCCCTGGGGAGAGCGCGTGTGTGGGAATCGAGGGAGTTCTTAGAGCTGGAAGCCTTCGGGGGTTGCGGTGAGGACTTGGGGCGGGGGCTTGGGAGCCTTCGGGGGTTCTAGGAGCAGGCTCGGTGCTGGGGCAGGGCAAGC